GAGTCGGAACCGACTTCACGGCACATAACAACAACAACAACAACAAACAGTATACAACAATAACAACAGCCGTTCTTTCCTACTTATAAAGTCTTACTTATTTATTCATCCAAGAATTTTATGTAGTTAGCACCCAAAAGTCTATTCATACAATGCCTGACACTAAGTTACTTTGTTTCTTCACCTCAATTTCTACATTTGCTAAATGAGGATAATAGTATCAACTTCATGGGGTTATTATAAGAATGAAGTTAAAGGAGGTATGCATAGGAAATTTTTTGCAATAGCCTCTAACACCCAGTGAGTACCTCTACATGTTAATTGTTTATTATCATCACTATAAACATGGATTCCTGGTATTGTACTGTAGGATCAGCACTGGACTGCGAACCACAGTTCAAACCCACCAGCTGCTCCTTAGAAATCCTATACAGGGTCACTATGAAACAGAACCAACTGGATGGCATGTCACAATAACTGTAAGCATATTTTCATCCAAAACAACAGGGATGATGATGAAATAAATCAATGCATGTAACATACACATTGCTTGGCATATCATGGCCCTCAATAAATTTTTAGATGCTATTGTACTCATTTACTAAATATTTATAACTTTCATGTTTGTATTTGAGGGTTTTTATCTTTTGTTTATATTTGAAAAGACTGTGTTCTGGCTTCTAAAGATTATAACATTACAAATGAACTACTTTTAGTATATTTGCTTTGCATTCACTGTCTTACTAAAACCATATTTATTTACAATGGATTTTCTACTGTTAAACCACCATCTAAGGAGCCCTGGTAGTATAGTAGATTACAAACTGGGCTACTAACCAAAAGGTCAGTAGTTCAAATCTACCATTCACTTTGCAGGAGAAAGATGAGGCTTTCTGCTCCCATAAAGATTTACAGCCTCAGAAACCCTAAACAGGGCCCGTATGAGTCAGAACAACTCAGTGGCACACAACCACCAACTACCAATCCACTATCTGCACATAATAAATTGCCTTTTTGACACTGAAGTTGTATTTGTTTTTTTCTTCTTCTATTACATTGGTTGGAACTTTTAGGGTGCTCATAAATAACATTAGTAATGGTAATTTACTTTAACATTTAAAGGGATTTTCTTGTTCCTGCCACTGGATCCCACCAGGATATTTTCAAGGCAAATTTTTGTTATTTATTTTCTCCAGCATTGATCTGTTATTAACCATGTTGAATCAACCTTGGACTCATATTTTTTCACGTTTCTTTGATTTTTTTCCCCTTTGATTCCCCTCCCCACCACCCCATTTTGTAACATGAAGTTACAAATACTCTTGCAAGGTTTTGTGTTTCATATGTACATGGTAATGTCTCATTCCTAATTTTAGATGTTTCTATTTATTTTCTATTTCTGCCTTTTGATTTAAGTTTTGTCTAACTTTTACTCTTTATTTTACTTTTGCCAATGATTTACCTCAGACATTTATTTTCCAATTCTTGAATATTTCTTCTTTTAAATTCATTAACTTTAGCTTTTATAGTTATTTGCTTCCTTCTCCTAGATTTGCTCTGTGGAAATTTTATTAGCAGCATCTTCAAACTATTCAAGTTTTTATTTCATGAGGGTAGAACACATACATATTCATTTGCAGTTTTTGAAAGATAGGCTAGAAGAAAATGAACTTTAAATTAAGATTCATGTTACCACTTAAAGGTAGTCACTATTAATGTTCTGGTATACCTTCAAATAGGTATTCTTTTCCCTTGAGTTTGTGCAAATATTTGTAATATTCATTACAAAAAATCTGCATGCTGATTGAATTTATGCAGCCCCCCAAATTAGGCCAATTATCCTTTCACATCAGTACATGGAACTGTTAATTCTCTTCCCATATCATGGGATTTTGTATTCTTCTTTTTAAAAGGATTTCTTAATTCTTTCTGTGAAACTAACATCTTGTTTTAATTTTACTTTCACAGATTAATAATACTGATCCAATGTGCCAAGCATGTAACACCCTTTTGTACATCTTTTTTGTGAGATTTTAATATGCTATGCTTTGTTTCCAAGTAATGCATTAATTTTTCTGGTTTATGAATAGGGATTTTTTAATATTAAAGATGTTAACTTTCATCAGTAAAATAATTTTCTTTCCTTCATTTTAATTTTATGCATGGCACATTTTCTCATGCAGATTTTCTGGGTTTTGTTGTTGTTTTTATCCAATTATCTATGTTTTCCTCTCTTTTGTTTCTACCAAAGACTTAAGTTAAGAAAGAACTTTTCTAGCATTACAGCTGCCTTTGTATATATTTACCTATGTTTTCTTCTGGAAGCTAGCATAGTTTCTTTTTCCACATTTAATACTTGAAATTTGTTTGGAAATAATGTATCTATTATTTAGAATTTCACATTATTTTTTTCTAAATAGTGATCCCATCATTTGACATTTATTCATAACTTTTTAAAACCCTCTAAAATAATTAATAGAAATTCAAGTTAACATTATAAAATATATCCTAAATTTTAAAATGATATAAAAGACTGTGTATATATGTCACACTGTAGGATAAAGCACTGAACCACAAGGTCAGTTTGAGCTGCAAGGTCAGCAGTTCAAACTCACCAGCTCCTCCTAGGAAACCCTATACAGGGTCACTATGAGTCGAATATGACTCAATGGCACTTAACAACAACAACAATCTATAACTATATATGTTGTGCCTCACCCAAGCCATGGTATTTTCAATTGCCTCATATGCATGTGAAAATTGGGCAATTAATAAGGAAGAGCATAGAACTGATGATTTGTGTTATGGTGTTAGAGAAGAATATTTAAAGTTCCATAGATTTCCAGAACAAACAAATATGTGTTGGAAGAAGTGCAGTCAGAATGCTCTTAGAGGCAACAATAATGAGACTTCATCCCTTATACTTCAAACATATTCTCAGGTCATAAAGTCTCTGGAGAAGTACATCATGCTTGGTAAAGTGGAGGGTAGATCAAAAAGAGGAAGACCCCCAA